CCCCTGCCATAGCTCTCAGGCCTTGGCCAGGTGCTGGGACACCACGTGGGTAGCCTAGGGCAGCCCTGGGGCTCTGCCTGGCCTTCTCTCACCTGTGGGGGCCCAAGATGCCTCTTGGCTGGGACAGACTTCCTTTTCCTAAGGGTGCTCTGACTCCCGGGAGCTAATTTATCCAGGGAGCAGGTGGTGCACCCTGACCTTCCCCTGGGCTGGTGTCTGATGGCCAGCTTCTCTGTCTCTGAGGGCGGGCTGCAAGGCAGGGCTGGCCTGGGGTTGGGGACTTCCCCAAAGGGCAGGGGGTCACTTCCTCCATCTCCTCTGCCCCCTCACCTGCCCCCTACATCTAGTGGAACTGACCCAGCCCCCTTCCTGGGACCTTGATTACCCACTCTTCTACTGAGAAACCTCCCCCGTCTCCTTACGTGTGCATTTCAGCTCAAACGCGCCCCGCTGCATAAAGGGAGCAGAAATAACCCACCCTCCCTCTAGAACTTCCTCTGGAGTTCTCCCCAGCTTAGAAGTGAGAGGACCCTGATAGAAAGACTTGACTATTTTCCAGCTGTGTGACCTTAGGGATTGTACTCAACTGCTCTGGGCCTTAATTTCATTAGAAGTAGAGATTATCTCCTTTAGTCATTTACCCTGTGAATATCTGCTGAGCACCTGGTGTGTGGGGGATCTCCAACAGCTGTGGGACCCTCTGGTGCCAGCCGCCTGGTCCCTGTCCGTCTGTCCTATTCATCAGTCCTATGGCCTCGGGCATGTTTATTCAGCACGCTGTGCCTCAGTTTCCCAGTACGCAAAATAGGGGTAAAGATAATAGAGATCCTACTTCATAGGATTGTTATGTGGATCAGAGAAGTTGCCAAGTAAGGCAGGTGGATCAGCGCCTGGCAGTGTCAGGTATGTCATGTTGTTGATGAAAAACTGTTACCTTTGCAGTGTTTCTATCTCCACTTTTACAAATGGAAAGGATACTATTTTGGATCTATTGGACTAAATAAAATATATTATGAAAATGGATTTCACCCTTTTCAATGTAGCTAGAAAATTTACACATTGGGCCAGTAGGTGGCATAGTGGTTAAGGTATTGGACTCCCACATGGTCAGCCACGGTTTGAGTCCTGGACCTGGCAGCTTGAAAATCACACCGAGCATGTGTGCATGTGTGTCCAAAATCCTAAGAGAATGGAGAAGGGATTGTGGCATGGCCATCCCCCCTGGGTGGGGGATTTCTCATTTTCCCTGTCTGTTTCTCTTCAGCAAGCACACACACCCTATGGCCAAAACCTTAAAAGAAAGAAAGAAAGAAAGAAAGAAAGAAAGAAAGAAAGAAAGAAAGAAAGAAAGAAAGAAAGAAAGAAAGAAAGAAAGAAAGAAAGAAAGAAAGAAAGAAGAAAGAAAGAAAGAAAGAAAGAAAGAAAGAAAGAAAGAAAGAAAGAAAGAA